ATCCCCTATTTCGAAGTGTCCAAATCCGCCTATGCGAGACGGCTTGCCTGACGTTCGGCCACTAAATGACCTGAATGACCCATGTAGCCGTGCCAAGAAAAAACGCCGTATGAACCTTCAGACGTTGCCGAATTTCCTTTCATAGAACACGATTTTCCTGCTAACCTTATGAATATTTACCATTTAATTTTTCAGCTAATTTTGTTCATAATTTGATATAATATGTTTGATGATTTCAAGGGAAAATATTCGGAGCTTTCCTTAAAATCAATATTTTACTGAAGGAAATTTGGCAACTCTCGAATGTTCATACGGCGTTCTCTCTTAGCACGGCAGTGTAGTTCACGACACCTTCCGCACAGTGGTCCGGAGAAGTAGTGTTGGAAACATTGGCGGAACCAGCAAACTGGCAACACTGTTTTTCTCCATTTAAACCTATGGAAATGTATCGATTCTCGGAGGGGCCAAGTGCCCCCACAAGAATCGATTATTTAACATAGGTTTAGATGGAGGGAATCCGTTGTTGCCACATTGCTATATCCGCCCCTGGTTAGAAAACTACACACCAAGACTAACCTCAGCCAACTCAACGAATAGTGACCCAAGTGCGGCACGCACGCATTGTTTTTTTTCCAGTTTCCTCAATTTTTTTTGTTTTTGTTTATAGTACAGCGAGCGCTGCTGAGTGCTGATCCGACTCAGCACGGGAGCGAACACCGCGGCTCGAGAATCGCGCGCGAAACCAAGGATGACTGGATCGGAATCCGCGCGGCTAGAACTTCGCTCGGCAGAAACCCTACTTGCAATTAAATGAGTCCCGGCGCCGGTGGCGAGAAAGAAAAGCTAGTTGCAGCGGTATCGTGAAACAGGTTAGGTATGTTCCCGAACTGGTTGTGATTGCCGCGACGGATCTGTGTGTGAAGTTTGATCTGCGTCTCTTTTCCGAAGTGCGGTCATTTAGATCAGTTAACGTTTATTCCGTTTAGTGTCTGTGTTTGGTCGCTTTGATTGCGTTCAAAATGAAGGTAAGCGCTACACTCTACTCGCAGCTCGATTCCAACCTACAAAAATGAGAGTCATCGTGCCTCTGATGACCGAATAGCTTCCAACTGAATTAAAAAGGAAAAGTGCCGGGAAAATCACCGGGGAAAAAGTTCCGTGACCTTGCCATCGAATAAAAGGCTTCCGTGTCCCTTTCTTGATCCACATCCTCAGTAGAAAAAACAACTTATAATCGGCCCGAAATATTTATAAAGAAACAACTTAAAACGGGACTAAGGCCGCAAATAATAAACATAAAATGAAATAATAAAAGAAAAATAAAAAACCCGGGACGTTTCGCAGGGATCACACCCGCATTTTCAACCGGCAAACAAGAAAATTGTAAGGAGGACACTATGAGCCTCACCGTTGTTATTGTGAGACTGATAGTGCAACCAAAATACCTAAACGAGTAAGCGCAACTTGAAACAAAGCACATCCTCAGTAGGACTGCTTTTGAGATTTTTGTGGAATTCTTTCCCGAAAAGAGGGTGTCATTGAAAGCCGCGATTCGGATTGTCGTTTGGAACACTTAGAGTGGTAAGAGTGGATAGGGACAAAAAAAGAAACAACTTAAGGCATGCTTTGCAGGGAATTTTGACTAGGGCGATTCTGCTTGGAAATAAGGCACATTCATCTGTTCAGGCAAAGACTTCATGTCATACGCGAATTATTTGGTCTGCATAATAAAATAAGGAAAATGCAATTTCTGGCTAATACCCAAAAACACCTACCTGCATAGGGGAAGTAACGACACATAGGTTGTTTCTAAAATGAGCCTGAAACTGTAGTTCCTAATTGCAAAATGCAATCGATTTCTCGAAGGTATTTTGGGGGAAAATCAGATCCTTTAGACTGTATAGGTATTACATATTTTTATCTACTCATTGGGTAGTTTTTGGTAACCTTCCCCTCCCCTCTCCTAAAATGGACAGCGTATTTATACTAAAAGGAATTAGGCAGTTAAGTGAGTAGGATTTACGCAAAACACAGTTCCTCTCAGCATTGTAACACGTCCAAATATAGAGATACGTGATTCTTCAACTTCTTTCTTCTTCAAAAATACTAAATAATACTTCCGTCAACCAAATCGTGAGTGCATGATAAAATGGACCACACTTATGAAATGAGGAAGCTGTATAGGTATTGAAGCCATTTCAGAAACAACATACGTCTCTTTGATTTTCCAATGCAGATAAGTAGTTTTATGAGTACGCCAGAAATAGTGGTTCTTTCCTTCCAAATGAGGTTCAAATGATCAATTACTTACTGAGGAAAACGCGCAGCTTAAAATTGGAAAAACTGGTTTATCATTTTAATGTTTTGCCGTGAGCGCAAGGCACTTCTAGGATAGAACGTTACGACGTCGTCACTCTCATCATTTAATTTATCGAATATTGGTTCGATTGATTTCAGGCTTAGAACTTGTATTCATGTTGAACCGTTTCAACTTTCGACCTCCTCTTAGAATGGGGAACCATACAAACTTGTGCTTATAGAAATGTTTCATAAATATTATAGGTATAGAAGGGAGGATGTAGAGTCAAGTGTCAAATGTAACTGAGTAGGAAAATATACTTCTGAGATTATTTCTAGCCAGCGATAATAAGTAGGACTTTCCATACATGATTTTTTCCTTTAGATTATCGGCACGTACCAATAATTTGATAGCGATATTAAACATTTTCTAGTTCAACTCTATTTTTAAAAGAAAACAAACCGACATTAATGTTCACAATTTTTATCAAATTATTTGGAGCCACGAAAAATCACGGAAATTTGTGAGAGACAACGTTGTCTGGTTTTTAAATTTAAGAATAATTTGCAACATTGCAAATAGAAAAACAAGTTGCCAAGTTTCAATAAAATACTTTCTTCTGTTTCATCATCGCGGAAATTATATGTAACACAACTTAACTATATTCTCCTCCCTCTTTCCTCTACGTTATCTCACTCAGGGGGAGAGGAATCAAATTAAGCGGACTTCGAGATAAAAAATAAAATGCAGATCATGATTCTCCAATTTTCTCCCTCAATAATAGTGATTTTTATCTAAAAATTAGGTCGAATAGCTGTAAACTCACTCGTGATTGCCATCAAGAAGTTTGAGGAAGTGTTCATACCCTACAATATTCAAATTAAAAGAAAAGGAAGGAGTTTTCAGAGATGGCATGAAGTTCGGAAAAGTGTTAAACTTTTCGAAATAAATGCATCAAATGATACAATTTGCGACTGCGTTATGCAAATTCACATTCTATAGTATTTGGATAACATTTTGCAGTAAGGAACTACTATTTTTGGCCCATTTTAGAAACAACATACTTGCCATTTATGTCCCTATGCAGATAGGTGCTTTTACGGGAGAGCCAGAGATAGTGGCTCCTTATTGCAAAATGTAGTCCATTCATGCGACGGCACTTTGGGGAAAAGTCACGATAGGTTCTCCCAGAAGGTATGGTTGAGCTTTATACCTTTTGGCAGCTTAGGCATACCTAGGGTCTCATATAGAACGGAGAGAGAAATTGATATTCAAACACGTTACTCTTTCTCATCAGAGTCATCGATTGTATTCAAATATGATTTGGGAGCAGGCCGCGAGCTTGACTCATTTCACCATTATGCAAACTATGCCTATCAAAATTGAAGCTGTCTGCGGGGAGACAAGCACTCGACGGTGGAGAAAATGAAAACAAAACAAAAAAAAAAATTGACCAGCACTTTCTAAATACGATGAAAATTGCTTCATTAGAGCAAACGAAATTGGAACACTGTCTGTCACTTGAACAAAAAAAAACAACTTCCGGTAGGTTTTTTGAACTTAAACCTGGACACGTGCTTGCACCACTTCAAGACGTTCCAGTTCGAAAGACGAATGGTCATTGTTTTTGTTCCAAATTCCATGAGATTTATCAGGGTTGATCTTTGAAAATTTCGCATTTAAGCGTCAAAATTAGTTTTTTTGAAAGAGGAAAAAATCCAAATAAACGACGACTCATTGAGACAGAGACGTGGTAGTTTTTTGGTCAACGTGTGTACAAGAACTCAATTTAAAACTGAAAAACTCAATACAGAGGGGAAAAGCCAAATCAAGCACAGTTTTCCCTCAAAGAGATATGCTGTTTGGCGCAACACTAGTTCAACTTCACAAGTGCAACTTTGGTTTTGAACTGAGTTTTTGCGCACGTTGGCCAAAAACTATACAAACTCTCTGTCTGAATAACTCGTGCGTCAAACAGCAATCTGTTTACATACGACTCATTAAAGTATAGGTAGAAGGAAACTCTGCGTATCATGCTCGGATACCTAATTTTTTTGCGATTCCGAGGGTTGGCGTCGTTATAATACATTTAAATATTGGAATTTTGGAAAATTGACAATGTCGCGACAAACAACAATTGTTTATTTCATCGGTACAATGCACGCAACGCTGGAATTAAGTTGAGGTGTGAGAGAAACAATCGAAGCTTCGGTGCGTGTTCGTTCTAACCCCTGGATGCAACTATTCGGGCTCCATGGATGTCCGCGTTGCATAAGCACGGAACTGCAGGCGTTTTGAAATCAGACACTACAGCGCCTCAACAGCGGCGCGCAGTAAAGCGAGTCAATAGGAGGAGTCGGATAAAATGTGGAAACATTACAAGCTCATATCGATGTTATGACGGAATGTAAAGGTCTTAGAAGTATGGTTGCATTGATTTTCTCGTAAAATTTCTTTTAAGAGACACCCCATAAAATTTATGATATGGACGATTAACATGAAAAGTAGCAGTTTTAGTAAAAAATTCCACATTCAACCTCTCTGCAAGGCTCGTTTTCTTGTGCGACAGGCTTTCCTGCGAGGATCGAAAAAGACAGATGCCCTCGATTCTCCATTTAAACTTCGAAGACATCTCTTGAAAACTCTTAAAATCATGCTCAGCGCATCGCGATATTAAAACTGAAGCACAACTGATACTCGAATCCTACGCCTGCACGCAACTATTCGTACCTAGGAGATATCTTTGTAAAGCAACAAGGAATTGAAAAAGCTTTGCCGTCTTGGATCCTCCTCGCAGTAAAGTTCACCGTTGCAGGGCGGTTCCGCGCTGCCTGGATAGTTAAAACGCCTTCAGTTTTCGTGGGTATGCAACACGGACATCCATAGAGCCCGAATAGTTGCATGCAGGAGTTAAAATGGAATTTGTATAATGCTCGCCGCATTCTACACTAACTAGGGGCCATAGAGTACATAGAGTCGTAATGTAATTGGGAGAGCTGGCGCCACTTTTAAGCATTTTCCATGTCTCGAATTCTGAGACTTTTGTGTGACGCCGGGTCACTTTTTCGATACATAATCGATTGTTTGCGATACACGGGTACCCGGCCATCCGATGACAACAACAACAACAACAACGGAGATAGGAATTACCACGTATTCCACACCGCCATTTTGGATCGAAAATGTATCGAAAAAGCGACCCGAACTCGGCGCACACCGGGCTCGGAATTCGTCGAGCAGAACATGGCGCCAGCTTTCCCATTTACATTACGACTCTGTGTACTCTATGCTAGGGGCGCTTCGATAGTTTCTCTTGTACCGTAACATAATTCCAGCGTTGCCTATTGTACCGATGAAGTAAACCATTATTGATTCAAATCGCGATATTGTCAATTTTCTAGATAACGGGGCATAATAAAGGGACTGGAAGTACTGACAATACTTTAAATGCCATTAGAGAGACCCTTGAATTTTTTCGTAGGTCCTCCCTAGAAATCCTAGGGACGGTCCCTCCTCTCTTTGAATGTCCCTGGCCCTCTGAATTTTTCACGGGTGAAAAAATTAAAAAATCTGGCATTGCTCCAAGGGACAGTGAAATGGTGCCTCTGATGAAGTTTATCACTCATTTGCTTTCTTTTTCCTTTGCAGGTGGAGCTGCTGACGACATCTGGGAAGCCTATAGGAGCAGTAGAGGTACGTTATTTAGAAGTTTCTCTCCTGCATAGAAGGAATCATTCATATTAAGGGGATGGAACTACGGATTTTTTTTATATTTTTTTTTCTTTTTACGAAATGACTATTTCCTCCTTTTCTTGTTAGAAACATGTACACGAGAATTTTTGAATAATTCATCAGTGATACATAATTTCACATTGAAAAGAAGCTCGTTACAAGCCCGAATAATACAACTTCCACGACGAGATAATAATTGACATTTCATTCACTCATCATTGAAGTTGCATATGAACATTGATGATAGGGTCTGAGTGATTTCTGTACTGCGATAAAGGTTTTCAGTGGCATACGAACGAAACCAAAATTTTGAACAACCAGGCGGTAACAGATATTTTCTGAAATCTGATCAACTGCATCGCAAAATAATTGTTTTTTTTTAGAACTAATCGGCATTGCTGAGGGCGAGAGGAGAATGGGTGGTGACGTATAATCTCATTGCTAATTCAAATTTACATCTAAAAATTTCGCCCCGCGTTTTTACTCCGAGGGAAAATAAATTGCCCTTGAATTAGCTTTTTTTTCCCGAAACGATCATTTTCATAGTTGTGCAATAAAGTCGCCATCCAATGAAAAACGCACTCTCAGTCTGCACCATTCAAACGTCCAAACGTGACGATTCATGGTAAATGTCCGCTTTTTGGCGCCCGATATAGCTCTTCCCATACATGACAGCAATTTCAGGAAAATCCGCCGAAAAGTAAAATTGAAGATGTGAAGTTCCTAGTAGATTTTTTAAAACTTTTATTTCGCAGATCATCGACTCTTAGGGCGCGGCTTACACAGGAGCTTCGCTTGAACTTTCTGATTCTCCAGGCAAAACTCCTTTTGAGCCAGCCAGCACCTAAATAAAAATGTTACAAAATCTGCGGAGTCGTTGAAACGCACGTTATGAATTTGTTTGAATTTTTACCCGTTCTCAGTTCCGACTTGTAAAGAAGGATTAAATTCTCGGTCGAGCGATCAAATGCAACCAACTCAAGGTCAATCGCTCACAACTTCAAGTTTGAGAGCATATCTCGTTTAGTTCAAAGCACAGTTGCCGATTCGTGTCAAAAAACGATTGAATAATAGTAGGAAACTTCTAGTTAACACTAATATTTAAGTTCAATGTAAATATTGCATAAAAGCTGATCATTCGAACTTGTCAGTGATTGGCAACTTTTAAAATAATCTAAAGTCTCATATCCAATTGTTTGTGCCAGGATGTTACCGTCAATATTTTTGAGTTTGACTGATTACAATTAATTCGTTTAAAACGAATCTCTGCCCCACGATTTGCTGGTCGGAGCACATTTTCTGGTGGTCTGACTTTTGACTGATTTATTGATAAACTTGGATTTTTCTTTACGCGAGGAGTGGATTTCTGGTTTGCTTTTATACTTAGTGATCGTTATAAAAGACAATTAAACAGAGGCATTAAGTAAGCTGAATCATGTCAGGAGGGGAATGCCTTAGCCTTTTAGATGTCCAAAATCGCTCATGTACCGTGCCCCTTCTTAATTCGGAAATTTACAATGAGGGAGGAACATTTTTCCAGGCTAAATTTTGGCAAGTTTAGTTCACCTAGAGGAAATGCTGAGGCCTGTAACGATTAAAACGGCAACGCTGTCGGCTCAATTTAGAACTCATTTGACTAAACATGCGTATTTCAAACGGAGAAAAAGAGTAGTGGACTAAACGAGGAGGAAAAGTACATTTATTCTTCCACATACTTCGGAAATTTACGCGTTGTAACTTGTATATAATGCAGTGGACTAAATCAACTTGCAAAATAAAGGGACTTGCTAGCTCGACAATCGACATATTTCTAAAAAAAAAAAAAAAAAAAAAAAAAAAAAAAAAAAAAAAAAACACACGGGAAAGCCGCTTCGGCCGGCGCGTTGGGGGAAAAACTGATCAATATAATCACCCGGATTCCAGGTTGATTTGATCTAGAGTGAATGTTGATGCCTGTTGCGGACATTGGTACTGAACAGATATTTAAAGGTCCCATCTAAGTACAGTAAATTTTTACGTGCTTTTTTATGATACTACACTTCCTCTTGATTTTCTTTTTTAGTCGTTTAAACGATTTTTTTTTTTTTTTTTAAATTTAGGGGTTTGGGTTAGAATAATTCGAAACCCCCTGTGCTTGTTGTTGGGCTGATTAAATTTTAGGGTTTTAGTGAACCCTCTTCACTGAACTCAGAAAGTAACAAACGAGATATTAAGAAGATGGAGGGTGTTATCACAGAGCATACATATAAAGTCGAGTTGTAGGTCGGAAAGTAGGTGAATTCTAAGCTTTGATTAATGGCAGGCGTGTTACTGCTCAAATCGACGTGAAGACGTAAGTGCTTGCGATTCAAAATATTGAACAATATTTCTTTAATGGCCACTCCAGATGTTACTACTGTACGATGTACAAGTTTTTGGCTGTTTTTGTGCAAGAAAGAGAAATGTGCGCGCCGCGAAGTTTTTGCTGAGTGAAAAAGGTACGTGAAAATCACCAAAAAAAAAAACCGAATGTTCCTAAATTTTCCAAGGTAAAATGTTTAGTTTCGAGGTAACTTATGAATATTCTTTTGAAATTTTCAGATTCTTTAAATTGGGAACAAAATTCCCTGAAAAATTGGAAGAAAAATATTCACAAGTCTCCCAGAGAAGTCGTATTTTATCGAAGGAAATATGGCAACATCTGAAGGCTTAAACAGCGTCTCACCTCAATCCGGCAGTATGCACATACAAGCATCGTTACAGTTCTGAGCATCGATGTCTCAGTACATACTTGCACACGGATAACTCACAGAGGGTTCCCCGATCCCTAGGCGACACTTCACGTCAGTCACTTTTATAACCTTGCGTTAAAGTCACTGGACCACTGCTCCATGATAATTCATATTCCCCCAATGGCAACACTGTTTATCCTCCATTTGAATGTATGAAAAACAATCGATTCTTGGCGTGGAAGCTCGCCTGACCTCAAATCGATGCAGTTGAATAGATTAATTAAATGGAGAAAAAATTGTTGTCAACTTCCAAAGTCGCCGCTGCAGTCACTTTCTATTTTGGATATAGTCATGCTTGTACCGCCCCTTTTTCAGTCTTATTTCTAGACCGTACCTATTGTTTTGTTTTGTCGATGGTTTGAGCAACAAGTAGATAAAAAAAATTAAAACAGATAGGGCTCGTGAAAAAATGTAAAAAAGTCGAGAAGGCTCGTCAAATTGCACGTTTATCTGACAAAAAACCAACCATCCTCTCCTACTTTACGAGAAGCTGTTGATGTCCAATTTGTTGTTTTCGGAGAAACATTACCCTGCATGAAGTTATCATGTCCCGTCGCAGGCGTACATTATTCACACATTCAACAAGAAAGAAAACTACTACGAAAAAATTCAAACTGAGCGGTGCAATTTTTTAGAATTTTGCCGAAAAGTAAATTTAAGTTCAATTCAAGACACCAAAAGGCGGATCATTGAGAAATAAAAAAAAAACAAAACAAAAAAAACAAAAAAAAAACATTATTATGCGCTCTTCTTTTGGGATGTTCTTGCCACGCTAATGTACTATTGCAATATTTATTGTATCAATGACTTAAAAAGGGCTCACGTTACTTATCGAGAGACTTTACAGACGGGATCAAAATATCTTATCAATGAAATCACGTTTTGCTTCGGGCAAATACAACATTCGTGGGCTATATCCATCCCAGTGGTGTCACTCCCCCCCTAGGTACTTGACGAGTTCCCCCCCCCCCNCCCCCCCCCCTATTTCATTACTTTTCAACCCCCCTTAAACAGCCGCGAATTTCTAGGGGGCGGCCCCGTCCCCCGAAGGGGGAGGGAAAATTTTGAAAATTTGATGCTCTCTAGGAGCAATTTGAGGCTATAGTCAGCAGTTTTGTCTCCGATTCCACCGCAGAAATTTGCGTAGTTTTCAGTGTAAATATTTATAATTTTTTTTTTTAAAAAAAAAAAACTTAAGTAAGGATGAAAAATCGTGAAGGAGAGAAAAGAAAGAAAAGCGGGAGAAAGAGCAAAATATGGGGGGGATGAAGGATCGGGAGAATAGGAAAATGGGGAGAGAGAATAAGAATAGAGGGGGAACAGGAAAACGAGGGGCTAAGAGAGAACAAAATATGGGGGGAATGAAGGATAGGGGAGAAAAGGAAACTGGGGGGGGGAGAACAAAATATGGGGGGAATGAAGGATAGGGGAGAAAAGGAAACTGGGGGGGGAGAACAAAATATGGGGGAATGAAGGATCGGGGAGAAAAGGAAATGGGAGGGAATAAACGAAGAATAGGGGGGAGAGAACAAAATATGGGGGGAATGAAGGATGGATGCGAAAAGGAAATTTGGGGGGCGAGGAACAGGTGAGGGGGTAGAACAAAACATGGGGGGGGGGNGAGGAGAAACGAAGAATACGGGGAAACAGGAGAAGGGGGGGTGCAGAAAATAAGGAAGATGGGTGGAGAGGAGAATATCTACGAGGGAAAACAGGTAACGCTTCGGCAGATTCACGGTAAAAGTGCCCATTTAAAAAAAAAAAAAGTCACCCCCCCAATTTCAAACTTGACGAGTTGCTCGTCTACAAACATGGCTACTGACACCACTGATCCATCCTAAACTCGAATCACATATTCGTCTTTGAAAAAAAATTATGGTGAGCGATCAGGTACGACCCAGAGATGATGACAATTTTTACAACTTTAGAGCAGTGCGTCGGATGAAGGCCACGGAGTCTTTGACAGAATTAAGAATCATGTTCTTGGGAGTTTTATGGAAGTTTTCAGTAGAGGTGATGAACAATTATACCTGTATGGACCTTGAGTAGCTGTCGTGAGTCTAATCGTAGATTTTTTTATTCTTTCTCCGATGTTTCGTTCAAATCTTACGGTCATTCCTACGATAGGTCTGCTTTCTTAAAGTTCACGGTCCGCCTGATATGGTGGACTTTCGAGGATGCAACATGCAACATAAACGTTGACGATTGAGGGCGTGCAATACGCGAAAGGTTCAGTTACACAATCAAATTGAGCCATCAAACTGAAGCTCTGATTGATGGAAAAAGACCTGAGATGAGGATGCGACCGATGAGAGGCCCAATTTGATGGCTCAGTTTGATCGTGTAACTGAACCTCAACACTGTCTTGCTAAGGAAAAACGTTGTATGAACCTTCATGCGTCGCCAAATTTCCTTTGATAAAACATGAATTTCCTGCTAAACTTATGAATATTTTTCAGATAATTTTGCTCTCAATTTCGACTAACGTTAATATGCCTGAAAATTTCGAGGTCTAAAATTCATAAATTTCCTCGATGGTAAACATTTTATCGAAGGAACTTTGGCTACTCTCGAATGTTCATACGGCGTTTTTCCTTAGCACGGCAGAATACGCTTCAGGGATGATATCGAAGAAGGGTCTTATATAAAAGTATGCGCCATGTGCACTGGAAAAAAAAAAAAAAAAAAACTAGAGTCCAGACTCTTAAAAACATCGACAAGAAAAAGTACTCTTGATTCAATCAGAATCTAACTTAAATCAAGAATTAAGCCTCTTAATTTAAGCGGATTTCTTTTCAATTCAAGCAAAAATCCCATTGAATCAAGAGTGTTTTTTCTTGTTAATATTTTCAAGAGTCTGGACTCTAGATCCAATGCGTTTTTTTTCCAGTGTGGTGTGCTTTACAGAGAGGGGAGGAGGAGGGGGGTCATGAATGCTTATCCTAAACTTTTGAAAATTGACTCCACTCGGACGCATTTTGAGGCTTCCGCAGCTGTTAACTTTTCTAATAAGATGTTTTAGTATGTACAAGTTGGAATGAAGTGGTAGAGGCTTTAAAAAGAAACTATAAATAATTTTTATTATTTCCACAGCTTTCAAAGGCAAGCACTGTGCAGGATGTGAAAAAAGAAGTATATAAAATCAAGAAGCAACTTTACCCAGAACGACAATCAATAAGACTGGAAGTAAAAGGCAAAGGAGCCAAAGATTCGGACACTTTAGAAAATTTAGGTAATTATGAATACTTGATGCAAAAATAAAGAAAAAAAATTGTGAGGTTTTGAAATTTAACAATGAGAATGTATATTTATCACTGCGATAAACTTTTAAAAACTCAAAAATCTCTCTCCTTCTTTTTAAAAATTGTATCTTTGAATTTGAATTTTTCATTACATAATTAATCTGCAAAAAATATAAATTATTTAATGAATGAGAAAAAATAAAATTAAATAAAAAAATGAAGTTTCTTTTCCATTCTTGTTTATTTACTTACTTATTCTCGTTTTTTTCTACTAACATTGAATTGAAATTAGCTTATATGACAAAATAAATATGCTCTGATCATACATCTAAGAAGCCAAGTACAGTTGTTTATTGATGTTCATCTTTTCCAATTTTTCGCAGGAATTCAAGATGGTGGAGCTTTATATGTTAAGGATTTAGGACCACAAATTGGATGGTCCACAGTATTCTTGAGTGAATATGCTGGCCCACTTTTCACATATCTATTATTTTATCCCCGACCAAGCTTCATCTATGGGGCTGATGCAGCTTCTTCAAAATATGAATGTGTTGTCACGTGAGTATTGAAAACTTATGCCCTAGTTTACTTCTATGAGAATTGGAATTGTCACCTCTCTATAAATAATTATTTAGACAAAGCTATAGAATGATTTTTGTGACTGAATTGTTGGAAGCTAATTATCTAACTTGATACACAGTAATTTTGAAAATGTCATTTTTTGTCTTTCTTTTGAGAATCTTATTTTTGTTACATATATATTTATGTATTGTTTTATTTATTTATTTATTTTTTTTTTTTTTGTTGCAGGATTGCAGCTATTTGTTGGAGTGTGCATTATGCTAAACGTATTCTAGAGACTATATTTGTACACAGATTTTCTAATGCTACAATGCCATTATCTAACTTATTCAAGAACTGTTCATATTATTGGGGCTTTGCTGCTTTTGTATCATATTTCACTAATCATCCTCTTTACACACCACCTAGCGATGTCCAGATGAAAGTTGGACTAGCAGCATTTTTGGTAAGCTGAGTATGTATTTTTTTAAACAAAAAAAATCCAAAGAAAGAAGCCTTTGTGACTTTATTTGCATACGCTAAATGAGGGGGTTGGGAGACAAGGCGCATAAGTGCAGTTTTTAAAAAAATTGAGATATTAATGATTTCGAGTAAAACTAGTATTAATACATATTCTGTGAAATATTCGCCCCAAATTCCAATTTTTAAGCATCAAAAGTCAGTTTGGAATTTCATTCCGCCATTAGGATCCATATAATTTCGAAACTTCAAACATGTTTTTCTCGAAATAGCGAAAACTGCACTTAAGCGCCTTGTCCTCCAAGCCCTTCAAATCTGCTCCGATAAAAAGCCATCTGAAAGCTAGCTATAGACGACTTGGAAGTACCTAGTTGGAGCTTTATCTTTATGACTTACGACTCATTGTCACACAGCTACTAAAAAAGAATAACTTGTTTGAATAAATTCGTCTAAATGAGACAAAATTAAATGACTGCTCATTTGTAGTTAAAATGACAATGGGTTCTATTTTTTACAGATTTGTGAATTGGGAAATTTGAGCATCCACATTGCATTGCGAAACCTTCGACCACCTGGGACCAAAGTTCGAAAGATCCCAGTAGCCACAGGCAACCCCTTCACCATTCTGTTCAGTCTTGTATCCTGCCCCAACTACACTTATGAAATTGGCAGTTGGATTGCTTTTTCAGTGATGACTGGAAGTTTGCCAGGTAAAAATCCAAATATAATATCATACAGTAGTCCTACTCAAGCACTACACAATTTTCAACAAAAATAATAGAAGCATACCCTCATAATTATGTACTTATTTAACCCAAAGAGAGACACTGAGTTGCCAAATTATTAGCACCAGTCTCATCTAATAATGGGTACCTTATTAAATAAGTTTTTGTGATTCAGCGAAACAAAAAAGTCTGAGCAATATCGACAGTTTAGTCACTAGTGTTGTTTCCTAAAAAACATTCCCATTGATTTTTTTTCAAATTCAATTCACGCTCAAAGTAGCTGACATGAACTACTCATAAATATTGTTGATACTAGTGCTCAATCATTGTAGCCAAAATAGCGTCTCTTATTCGAATCATAATTTTTTCATTGTTCCAGCTTTAATATTCACAATTGCTGGTGCTTATCAGATGACAATCTGGGCTCTTGGAAAACACCGAAATTACAAGAAAGAATTTTCAACCTATCCAAAGCAACGGAAGGCCATTTTCCCGTTTTTGATCTAAAGTAACTTAACTGCTTTTAGTTGGTGAAAGAATGACAGACAGGGTTTCTGAGGTAAAAAAATAGTTCTAGAGAATCCTACAACCTACTGAATGTATACCTCAGGATAGTTCAACATGTGTTCAGTGAGTTAAGATTTTTTGGTTACCAATTAATGTAACACCACTAGTCGTTACAGAATGATATTCATTGTTATTATTTCTGTTTTTATTCCATCTTGGAAACAAGATGGAAGTTGTAAATAAAAAAAAATGAAATAAAAATTTTAAACACACATTTTTTGTCGTTTCTTGATTCATTGTTTCATTAATGAGCAGACAGAATGCTTGCATTTATGGCAGCATAAATTTTTAGAGCACAAAAAGAAAAAAAATTAGAAAATAATTAAGTTTAGAAAAAAAGTAAAAATATAAAGAATAAGAAGAAAGAGAGAAAGAAAGAGAGAGAGGGAAATAAAAAAAATTCAAAAAGCGTATAGGAAAAAATGAGATTCATGGAAAAATAAAAATAGAGAAAGCCAGTTTAAAGATGAGTGAAAATGAAACACATTACACAAACAGAATTGGATATGTTAATTACATAGAGTAGGTTCGACACTTACCTTTTACAACTTTAGGGAATGAATATCTGCTAAGCTACATGATAGTTTCAACTTCTTTCTTAGGTGGACAATTCGTTAACTTTTTCTGTCTGCATAATTCTAGACTGTAAAGCCTCAACTTCTTCTTCTAGAGATTTTATTTTGGCTTGCTGATCCTGTAAAAGCAGAAAAAAGTGCATTAAGATATTATTATACTTGAGTTTTCTTATGCCAAAACATCAGATTTTCAAAGAAAAATTCTTTTTTTTACCAATTTTCAAACAGCCCTTAGGGGCTAATCCTGAGCTTGGTCCTCCACGACCTTCCCACTCAGCCCCAGGTGACCCCTGCCTAAGACCATCAAACTGAACCCAGGACCTCCTGATCATAGGGTCAGCTCTATAACCACTACACCACAGCAGGCCGACTGAAGTTTCTGTTTAATAGGTCTAGAAATTCAAAAGTGGATGTATAAATGATAAGAATTCCTTTTTAACTTATGAAAGGTAAGAATTTACTCAATTCTTAAGAGCTAAAGAATAATGCATTCGCATATTTAGAAAGGTATTGTTATTACACATTATAATTGAGAGGAGGAAAATGGAGACCAGGCGTTTTTTTCAGAAGCCAATTCAAGTCTTTGAGTTACTATTTTTACATTTTACTATGCCGTCACCCATAAGTAAACTCTGTAACCCTTCAATGCTCTCTACTTTCACCTTTTATCAGATATAAGTTTTCTTCTTTCTTGAATTTCTAGTCTCTATCATCATGTCTTCCGCTTATCTTTTCCACTCTGCTTGGCGACTTGCTCAGTGGCTACATGTTGCTTACACTTTGAACAGCACAGAGCTGAAATGGAACACTGCTCCATTAAAAAGCCTGCCAAAACCGTTGTAGTGTACGGTTTGATTCTTATGGACTCTGGTTTTTTTTCGTCAGCGGAAAATTCAAAAGATTCACAACCAGTGCTGAATAAAAACGATGACATCTTGGTTAGGAGTTAATGTCAGCAATTTTCGTTGCAAGAAACATTTGCTGATCGAAATTTAGAAGAGGAAACTCAAAGTGCTTAAATTTGTACCTTGTCTAGTGGTACATACATTAGGTTTTTCTCTGTTGAATGGAGGATCTGATGTGTAAGATTAGAATTAATAAAAAGTAAGAGAATAAAAAAATCATTCTTACATTAATTTTGCAACGGTAAAATTTTCTTTCATCAGCAATTAATGTGTCTTGAGGTTCAGTGGCTTTAAAAGGCCGTTCTTGGAGTAACTTCTTATATTTTTCTGTCTTACTCTGCACTTGCTTCAGCTCACTTTGAAATCTGTTGATGTCCTCCATCAGAGCATTATTTTCCTTTAAAACACAAAAAACATAACGTTAAATTATTTCAAATAAACCATGAAACATAATATTTTCATGCAGTAAATGTTTTATTACGGGACTTTTATAGTATTTCATGACATACTTTGAGGTGGCGCTAATACAACGATACTACAAGAAAAGAAGAGAAACTTATCATATGTATGGGATCGGTAAGTGTTTATGTGTGCTAATTGCATCTTTGACAATAATAGACTTAAATTGGAAATATATTACCTTCATCATTTTATTTAGAGTTGATGGTTTTTCCGATTGCTTCTTCAAGCGGTTTGTGAGAGTTTTTATCATATTTTCAAGGTACTCTCTCTGTTCATTGAATTCAGATAGTGTTGCCAGTTGTTTTTCTTGAATTTTTTCGAATCTGTCATCAGCACTGTAATTATGGTGCAATTTCTGGAAAAAATATGAAAATAAAGAACCAGTGAGCACTTTACTTCTCTGCTACAATACTAGTCTATCACACTATGATGATACAATTTTGCGACCTGCAAGATTTTAGAGTTTGTGATGAAAACATGCTCTTTTCCTTTCTTCTTAATTTTTTTAGAGCACAGAAAATAATTTGAATATAGATCCCCACTATCTATCCTTCTGAAGGATTTAATGTCTTCACTTCACTTTTATTTCAGAGGCCCAGTAAAGAGAGGTACCTAATTCCATTTCAGCTAATTTAGGATAACCAAATAATTACAACTAAATAATCAAAACCAATAAATCATTACTTCACCAAATAATCATCACTTCATTCATTGTAACGAATATTACAATTGTTGGAGCACTGTATCTTATAGCTGGCACTAAATGGAGCTACCAAAATTTTCCTCATATTCAACTGTTATAGTAGCTCTTCTTTTCAAAAAATTTGAGTCAGGTACTATTTGCTCTGGGGTGATGATTTGAATTTTTGGACTCATACTTAATGATTTTGAAAACTAGTAGAAAACTGTATTTTTTTCCTTCTTTCCAATTTAAAGATAAGATACAAGTGCTGAATAAAGATTAATACTCACTAATACAATTTCTTTCAATTTTTTGGGGTCTTGGAGTAAACACGATGCTGAATAGATATCAATACGAATTTTATCCAAAAGTAGATACAAGCTATGATTCTTTTCCTGCTCTTTCATTAGTTCTGTTTTCAAAGCTAATAACTTCCGTTCTGCGGTTTCCGCTCGGTATTTGGAGGCTGCAGTTTCTTTTTTCAAATCTTCTATTTCCGTTTTTATCTGAGAAAAATATGAAAATTATTTAGCCGCATTGTGCATGCACAGGATAGGTAAAGAAAAATTAAGGATAAAGAGAGAATAGACTTAAGACAAATTCATCTCATGAATATTACCCTCCACAGTTTAAATAAAAAAGGATGATGACATTCAGAATAATTAAATTCAAGAAAGAATCATGACAAAAGTTCAAATAAAATGAGGAGTCAGTGGAGTCAATTTAGGCAGTCAAAACTTTTGAATTAGATTTGATGATAATAAGATATTCACAATAAAAAAATAAAAAAAAAAAAAAAAAAAAAAAAAAAAAAAAAAAACCAGACTTTACCTTACAGGTCACTTAATCTGTAAAGGTACAAATAAATCCATAAAATGAGTGAAGAAAACTCCCATTGTTGAACTTACGTCTTTAATGACAGCATTCTTTTCAAGAATTTCTTGATCTTTCGGCAAAATCTGATGCTTCAAGTCACTGATCTTATAGTTGAGAACGTACTTAAATTTCTCTAGTTCAGTAACTTTACTTTTGGTGGCAGCTATCTGTTTCTCTTTCTCTTGAATAATACTGTCTCTTTCAGCGATTTCTTTGAGGACATCCTCAACATCTTTCTCTAACACTTGTATTTTATTCTCGTACTGCTTGTGTTCTTGACGGAGCTGACCAATCTCGATTTTATAATTTTCAATCTCTTTTTGCGCCCTGAAAAAGAATGCAATTATGTAATATGAGACCCTGTGTAAAAAAGCAAAGGTAGGGACAAAGGGAGGTAATCATGGAAGAAAATGTACCTGAAGCATCATGTTTGGAGGAGAAATATTTTGCAAGGAAAAAGAGCTGGTTGAGCGACAACAAAAGTGATAAGACAAATTACAAATTTAGGCTCAAGTACCTATCTGAAAAAGTTTCGTAAATACACCCGTAAAAATTTTAAGTGTCTGATTTTGTGAGTAAAATCTTATGTCAGTGAAACATAAATTACAGTTGCAATTTAAACTTCTTGGGTACAATTAAAGACCCTCTAAAAGAGTTAGATTTCAGGCACAATAAATTTAATTGCTTCTTTCAGTAAGTCTCTTACGTTACAAATTTCTTCTTATTGACACCGACTTCTCTTCTTAACTGGATCAAATTATCACGTTCTTTTTCGAGTTCTTTTTCATAATCAATTTTGACATTTATTATCTCTCTATCAGCATCTTCTTCAATTTGAACTTTGATTTCTTCATGATTGATGTCTTTTTGCTTCAACTCATCTTGTAACTGGAAATAGTAAAAACAGAAGCTCAAACTCATAGTAAAAATGTATGCAGATGAGGACACATGATTAATAATTACGTATTCAGGCCAAAGTTTCGATGCATGTTAAGGGTGAAGATTAAACGGAAAAGTGTAAAAATCTTTTCTCTTCTCAGACATTGCATTAAGAGAAGAAGTACTGTCATCATGAATATGAATCATAATCAGCAGTCCGTAATTTTGGCTTAACTGCACAAATTTACCATTAGTTCTGATCATAAAATCCATTTAGAAACCTTTTCAATTATTTGCAGAGGCAAGATAGCATATATGCACATATGCTGAGACAGCTGACTCCAAACTGAAAAATATCAGGAAACCTTCAAACCTGATTGGAAAAAAAAAAATGTATAAGTTAATCTTCACCTTGCTGATTTCCAGACTCCTTGATTGTAGTTCTGATTGAAATTCAGAGGTTATTTTTTCAATTTCCTTGAGTTTCTGCATTTGTTGTTCTTCCATTTGCCTGTGACAAAAAATAGTTGAACAATGAAAATTAGATTGGTAAACAATGTGTGGCCAAAATAATGTGATCCGAAAAAAAAAAAAAAAAAAAAAAAAAAAAAAATAATAATAATAATTATCACTTTGTGGTAAAATGATCACTAGAGCAATCTCTTGGTTTTATTCTAAGGAACAAGCAATATAAATTGTCTGATGAATGATTAATAAGGCAGAAAATGTAGCTTTTTCTGAAGCCAGCTGAGCAAGATTTATCTACTGATTATCTTTCCTTCAGCATTTACTTCTGATTTTGCCATACAACAGAATTACAAATTAATCTGACAACAGCAGCCTACAAAATGATTGCAAGATCATGAAAAGATGAGTAGAGGTTGAATGTTTGACACCATCATTACTTGAAAAGTTGTGATTTAATATTAAAAAGCCATGCATTATTACCGTTCAAAGTCTTCTTTCATAGACTGGACCTTGCTTTCAAATTGTTGATATTTATCGTACTCCTCCACTAATTTTCGATTGTACTTATTTTCTATATTCTGCATGTCCTGAAGATGATCTTCATTTAATTGTACAATCTCTGCCTGTATTCTGTTCAATTTTACTTTGTGTTCAGTTTCAAGTTCCTGAAAAATTACCAAATTGGCAACCACTTATTGAATCGATATGATTTAAGGGACATTCAGTAAAAGAAATATTGTTTCAGAGAGATTAAGTTGCCTGTAAGTATCAGCAGATAAAATACCTCTACTATCCACTTTGAGCAGTGTTCGGAACTTACCTTTGAGTTTCAGGAGCCATGTAATTCATTAAGCTCGATTTTTAGGGGCCATTTAACATTTTTTAGGGGACAAATCAACTTTTTACTTATATACCACGGCGCAATTAGTGAGAAGTAGAATATGATGCCAAGCGTCGAAGTTTCAAAAAATCACCAAACAGAAGAATAAGGTTTTATTTGAGGGGGGGGGAGGCAATTTTTAGGGACCACGTTGGCGCAGAACCTTCATTTTTCAGGCGCCATGACCGATTTTCCAGGCGCATTTGGCACGTTGGCACCTGTGAGTTTCGAACACTGACTTTGAGTGTTGCTAGCCTTACAATAATGATAATAACAAACACTATTGAATTCTTCATTTGGGTGAATAGGTTGAGAGATGAAAATTCTTCTTCCCTTGGAGAAGAATGAAATGATTTATCCTTAAATATTAAAGAATGAAAGTAACTCACATGGTTCTTCTTTTTGAAATCTTCAATCACCGAATTATAATATTCCAGAAGCTTCGCTGTTTCTTCTTCATACTTTGTTTCCATTTTCTTCGTGACATAATCATGTTCATTTTCCATTTCAACTATTCTAGATTTTAATTCGGTGATGTAGTGTATTTTTTCAGCTAAGTCATCCTTACTTATTAAAATTTCTTTGGATTGAACTAAAGCCTCACTTTCATAGGAATCTTTCATAATAACTTTCCAAATGCACAAACAGCCATCAACTGAAGCTGTTATCAAGTAATCGTAATTGTAGGTCAACAGCATCTGAAAAATAGTTCTGCAAATTAAATTGTATTCAAGGAAATTGCGCGAAGGCATTGAATTACAGTTGAAATAATTTCGTCTCTTTAGGCATTCTCTAAAATTAAATTTTAACTAGGAGAACTCATTTCTTTCATGAATCTGGATACGGTTGATTTTTCCAATATAGTTTGATAAGAATGCCACATCCTACAAGTTCAGCCATGACTTAGGTGACTAATTTCACTGAGAGGCATATATCTAAGAATGTATCCTGATGTTGGCACTTAATCCTTCAAAGGGCCTTCTACTAGAATATTTTTGGTGTGATTTCCATTTAATGCAATCCTAAAGAAATCAACAAGGAATAGATTTTGTAGATTTCCTTCTGTATGGTACTTCAAAAATACAGGTGCTGATGTATTGATTCATACTTACACAAGAGATATTGGAATTGTGCATCACATGTTCTTCAAACTCTGCTGTTGGTAATAAAGGATAACGTATGGATAGAATAACTCCGTTCAGACTAGATACGAATAGAAGTTTCCTTTTTTCCGATAAAACGATGCAGTCCAGTGGGGCATTTATCAAATCAGTTCGACTTACAACCTTTGAGACATTACAGAAAAAATTAAACATCCGCTTAAAAATTTTAATGTAATTGTTTTAAACTTAAATAATTGTAACCTGATATAATTCTGTCCATTTAAATGAGACCACTGATTGTTTACGTTGTTTTAATTTTTTTAAAAAGATCTGGCTTTCAGAGTTTTACTTTGACTAATTACAAATTCAATTTAGATTTATTTTTACCAAAACTTGGCAAGTTCAAGAAATATAACAAATTAATATTGCATAGGTGCTGTGCCATCCAACTACTGTACTTTGAATTACTCTAACTGCAGTTGATTAAAGCTGAAAAGTAAAACTAGATTAGAAAACTAGCCAAATCTTTCAATGGGCCTGGCCTTAAGACAAGATCTGAACTAGAAATAAAGTCACGTTTTTTCTTCAAAATCTTGCGTAAAAATTATTCATAGAATAGAAAATTTCTAAAGCAACTACTGAACGAGATATTAACAAATATTTTTAACGCAGATGAAATAAAAATTAGATTGTACAAATTATGCCATTTGTATTTTTGCCATTTAACCAATGTTGATTGTAAGTACTTATACCATGTTTAGGAGATGCATAGACTTCACATTGTCGTTGCATTTTCCTCATGCAATGTTGAGGAGAAAACAAATTCTTTAGTGCTTTTATTAATACCTTGTCTCAAAACCCATTAGACAATGAATGTTTCAAACAACTTTTTGTGTACTTAAAACAGTAATAATGAATACAAAGGCGAATGCTCACCACAGAATTTTCTATTTGACTGATCACACCCTCATTGCCAATCACATAAACAATTTTGCCTTCAGCAGTAACAGCAACGTCTGAATATTGACAACTTTTTGATGCTACATCACCAACTCGCTTGCCTCTGAAAGTATCCCATTGATACATAGCGCCATCCAAGCCACAAGAGAACATGTTCCCATCATCTTTGGTCCAGACCATGCTTTTGATCTAAAACATTTTGATCTCTCATTTTAACTCAACAGTCACCATACCAAATACTCATGAGGCCACAAAAGAAGAAAAATTGTGCTTCAATTTCACAGATTCTCAGCTTGATTTAATTGAAAAAATCTTTCCGACAGTTACCTGTACTGTTTGTTTAAAGTGAATTTGGTGAATTGAGAATTCTCACGGTTTACATTTTTGCGTCAGATAAAAGAACCTTTGGACTATTGCAAATAGATAAAAAAAAAAAAAAAAAAAAAAAAAAAAAAAAAAAAAAAAGAAACTCAACAAGTGCTAAAGATTAGATTGTCTCTTTGAGAAATTGTGAGAGTACGTTTGTGGTGAAACTGATAAACCATACATTTTAACTATAATATTCACATTTCTGCTTATTATTGTTTTTTTTACCAGAAAACTAACTGATATTCGGGCATGAAAACAGAGAATGATTCCAGGTATCAAACTAATGATGATGTACATTTTACATATTAAAAATGGTTGATTCTCCTCCCTTAGCACCTGTTTTGATCATATGTTTTTTGATCAGGAAAACATCTGATTCGAGTTTAGGTAATTACAAAGTTTTCTCTTCAAACTGTTTAGGGTAAAGTTGACCATAGTGCATTATGCTTCAATGATATACAAATGAACTGAGTTTAACGAAATGCATCAAGTTGAAACAGATTTAAACAAAGAAAAAGACAATACAAGTTTTATTCCTCCATGAGATTTAAAGTCACGGACAACATTTAACAACTTTTATCATGTCAAAATATTCTTCCTCAACTTGGAATTTATGACAGGAATATACAGGATAATATTTGCAACTTGTTGAGATCGAACCCACTCTTAGTTGATTTTTTCCCAAAATGCGACTTCTGATAAACTTAGTCCAAATGATTATGAATTTCTATTGGTTTACCGTGTCACAGTGTCCTTTAAAAGTGTACAGCAACTGAAATGTGATGGTAGAATAAATGAGAATGAATGTCTCATCAACAACGGCAAATAAGTGGCCATTTTGACTGAAGGCAACTTCTTGTGCTCCTTTGATGGGAAACTCGTGGTAAACTTGTAATTGATTGATAAGGACCAACATAAACCTCAGTTTGTCAGAAAACCCAATCACTGCATACAGACCTAAAAGACAACACAGAAAAATTAACAGTTGCTGTAAAAAAGTTCCTTCTTTTCATAGCAAAGTTACCTGATAAGAAGTAAAAATAAAATATTTATAACATTACAGCTATAAAACTATAAAATTGGGTAGACTATAAAATGAACCACAATGCAAGGTACTGATTTCAGCATTCTGTTGAACATTTTATCTTTAAAATTTCTCATAGGACATGTTTCGCACAGCAAAAATCACTCTTATTAACTCTTCAATTTAAGTATATCAATGCTTTTTTACATAGGTAGCTAGTTTGAATTCATGCACTACAAAAGTTAATATTTTGGCTTGGAGTTACTTTCAATAATTTTCATTGGAATTTTGATATGAAAACATGATGCCTTAAAATTCATAGTATAGAGGTTCATAACAACTGAATAAAAAACGAGAAATGCGATTTGGTAGCTAATGAATTGCCTTTGCAAGATAAGACTTCGAAAATTTGAAACTTTACATCATTCATATTTTGTAAGAAAAAAAAAATGAGGTGAGTGGAGGTGCAAAAAAATTTGCAAAAGAAGGTAGGTGCTCTGGAGTGAAAAAATACTTGATTATAGAGGACTTTTCATTTCATCAGATAGTCAATCACCTGTAGGGTGCAAACTGACACAGAAAACACTCTCTTGAAACGTATGCGACATTAAAAGTTGAAAAGTAGTGTAATCCCACAGAGACACAGTTTGGTCTAATTCACCACAAGTCATGAAAATATTCTTCCAGGCACATGTTGATAAGCTAATAATGGGTCCATGATGAATCTTCTCGCCCATCAGTTTAAAACTTTTCTGGAAATTGCTCTAGAAAATGAGATGAATGTTTTAAGATCCGTATAGGGTCTATCCAAAAACAGAAACTACGGCTGGTTCTTCACTTTCAAAACATGGGATGGCTGTTTAATTACTTTGAACTTGTTATACTGAACTTGCTAAAATTTCATTAAACATGTTTTAAAACTTCAGAGGAAATCATAGTTAAAACTAATTTCAGTTTTTGATAAAGAGACTTTCAATGCAAAAGCTTTGAAAGGATCACCTTTACCTTTACACCTTTTCAAATTAATCTTCTGATGATAATCATCATCATTCATAAAAAGCCTTGCACTGCTTATAGATACTCATAATGAATAGGCATTTTCAATAGAGGTGACAGTAGAATGTTACTAGGACTAGGACATGACTCAGCAACATGGTAATTTTAAGGAAAGCGTACCTTGTTTGATGATGAGTCAGATAGTTCAATCCAAAAAATTTGGGATCTTTGGGTTGTGCACAATAGTTTGTCCATTTCTGGGCTCACACATAGACGATGAACCAAATGCGTTTCTTGTAGGGACTGATTTTTTATTTTGCAGCCCTCGACATGAAACACATTCTTTTTGACATACCTGCAAAAATTAAAAGCTGACAGTATAAAGAGATTCGGGAGCTTTTGGCTGATAGAAGACATTTTTGTTCTCTGTTTGTTTTATCTTTTTGCTCTAAGATAAATAAATTTTAGTAAATCGAGTAGAGTTGCCACAGATTTTTCCTCTCTGATCTTTTAAATTATTATAACTAGCGTTAAAATTCTTTGGCTTTTGACTAAACATTAGACAGAGACAATGAGTGAAACATTGCTGGAGCGGACTTCGCTTAAAAAATTTTTGATCTTGTCGGGCTGGAACATTCATAAAATTTAGGGAAAATTACTTAAATCAGAAGAATAGAACAGCAGTGACTACCTAAGATTTGATTCTTTGCCAAAGACAAGCACCAAACCAGGTGCACCAGCAAACAAAAACCCTTTCACATATCCTGTGAGACATCGTACTGATCGATCACCATCTGAAGTTGCTTCAATTTTAGAGGTCATACTTGCGATTATTTGAGAACTTGAGCTGCAACAATGTGTTGAGAAATTTAACATGATTCAACATGTAATTCAAGGCAGAGGGTAATAGAGGGGGGGAGAGGATATGCCGCCACTAAGTTAGAGAAAAATCTCCGCACATAGATAAACACTAATGATGAAAATTTGATGGGTAAAATTGTACAGATCACTGAAACTTTGCTACGCACCGAAAAGAAAAGAAGAGACTTAAACCATATGTATTGGAACACCATGCCAATCACTGCAGCAAAAAATTACTGCAGCTGTTAGTCAGGAGACAGACTAGAGAATATAAAACAAGCTCACCACGCGCAACAGGTGGATCTCAACTACATTTAATGGCCTGGGAGTGAAGCACCACACTGCTGCAAATCTGATGATTTTTGTTAATT